CAATCCAAAGAAAAAGTGTGAATGTTGCGTCATTAAGTGTACCCAACTTAACATGTTTGTTGTCTGCGTTTTATTAATATTTGAAAGTATGCTGTTAAATCTTATAACTAAAGTAAACAAATCAATAATTGTTTTAGGTGATTTTAATGTAAATACCTCTTGCCAAAATTAAAAGAACTTGTAAACCTAATAGAAAATATTAATTTACATGTTTCTATAACCATGCCTACAAAAGTCACAAATTCAACAAAAACTCAAATTGAAAACATATTTACAAATATTCCTTACTCCAACTCCAACTCGTCTGTTCTATTTACAAACATCTCATATCATTATACAATTAAATTTGAACTTAGTAGTGTTGTTGAAACCACAATGGAAAAAAAGTATTTTGGTTTTGGACCTGAGCAACCAAAAGATGTTTTTAAGGTAACTTGGGCCGCTGAATTCAAATCTTCACTCCGTTTTTTAAGATTGGTTCTAGTCTTCGAGATAGTAAATAAATTAAATTTGTTCGATCTATGGCAATTATATTTATTTAATGGCAATTAAAAGTAATAAATTAGAAATAAAGGGCGGTGAAACTAAGTCTTTTATATTGAGTCCAACAGTACTCGCTCATCATGCCTTCATCCCAAAATCCTTGGTATCTCCTTTCAATGTTTGCAAGATCTTGGTGTAGCCGCTCTCCCTGTTCGTTGCTCGTATCGCCCAAGTTTTCAGGGGAAAAATCGAGGTGGGAATGGAGAAAATGCATCTTGAGAGACATCCGAGCTCCTTTCTTGCGGTAATTTTGCAACAAATTGCCGATGATTTGCGTACAACAATTTCGGAAACAACTTGATTAAGTACTGAAAAGCCTGCCCTTCAGCTGCGAGAACTGAAAAACTAGAACCAATGTTGCCAAACGGATTTACACCTTCACGTGGTTCTTGCTGAACAATGAAATATTAATTAGACAAAAATGAGGTTTATTTAAAATAAACGTCATTTTTACAATAAAATATATTTCATTGACAAAGTAGAGGATTCCTTCCCCACCACAGTCTAAGTTTTTTACTTAGTTTTAAGTATATGTTGTGAACTGCAACGTCAGTTTTTTTAAGTTGGGTTTAAAAAAATTTCTTCGCCTTTAAATGAGGGCGAATCCCTGCCTCTGCCTCACCAAAATGAAATTTCACGGGCCGCCACTGTACGTAGTATTTAGTTTTGAAAAAATTAGGGATTTCTAAATTATGGTGTCAAAGGCAAAAAAGCAAAAAGGGACACTTAGGTAAAGAAATTACAAGTTTTTTGAACTTTGCCTAAAAATCTGGTGTCCAGATGATACAAAAACGATGGTTCAGGTATACGAAGCGAGTAAAGGGAAGCAAGAAAACAGGTAGAACGTTTTTAAAAGTGTTAGCGAACGCATCGCTTCTTGTACGTTTTTGCTAAAACGAAATTTATTGTAAAGTTCTGGTTAAATAAAGTGTTTGTGCATTCTGCAAGGTTAGTTCTAAATTTTAGTAGCCCAACTTATGTAGTTTTAAGTCCACTAAACGTAGAGCGATTCAGATTTATGTAAATTGATCATTAGTTACACTACTATATTTAGCGAATTTTACTCGATAACACCTTTTCTTTTAACTATTTTTACAAAATGTTTTTGGGTTTTAAGTTTACTGTTTAATGTAAAAATTTCGATTTCATTATTTTATTGTTCAAACTTAATTAAGTTGTACACGGTATCTGTAACTAAAATGTTTAGACCTTCCCTAACACGATTATGCATTTTGGTGGTCATTTTAAAACAAATATCGGTGTGTTACGTTTCGTTGCTTAAAAAGTAGTATTGCCCGTTAATTTTAAACTTTGAATGCTCCTTTTTCTGTAGTGCACGTAGTAGATATTAAAATGCTCCACACCGTAAGAGATAAATGGTCACCTAGGTTCTCTAGTCGACATAGCAACTTTTATCCCGACCATTCATCTTTAGGCGAGATGTTTCCAGTGCGGACCTCATTACCCACTGGGCAACGTTGACACACTGAACTGAAACCGCGTTGTTAACTTACAATTTGCATAAAATTTTAAAAGAAACAATGCCTAATCGTGTAATTCTTTGTTACTTCATAGCCGAACAGGGTTTTTCTCATGCTCTTTACAATATATATACTAAAAACAGGCAAGGTCCCATTATGGAACCCTGGGGAACTCCAATATGAAGCTTTACCATCTCTGTAATATTGTTATTGACGAATACACTCTGATAGCGATTACTTACTTACTAAAGGACTTTGTGAGGTCTAGAGAAACGGCAGAGTAAATTTAAACAAAAGTCGAAAATGGCAGAGAAATGGCAGAAAAACGGCAAAAAAGTGTAGTAACAATTTCTCACTGCATTAATTTTTTGCTTCAATAATTTCTCAATTCAATAATTAAACATTGTAATAATTTCTCACTGCATTAATTTTTTACTGAAAAAGTAATAATTTCTCGTTACAATAATTTCTTACTGCAATAATTTATCTTAACATAAATTACTTTTGTATAAAATTACTTGAAGAGATGTTCATATTTCTGAAAAAATCTTAAAATAAAAACAAACACAGTGTCTCAGTAGGTACTCGATTTTTGATGATCCATTTTTATCTAAATAGGTACTCAAATGATGGATTGGTTGGGTAAGTTAGCTTTGGTTATTTTTGATGATTGCATTTTTATCTAGGTCTCCGGATGTTGGTGAGTTCACTAATTACTAATTTTGTTTGGAGTTATGTTGGCTTTGAGAATTTATTACTTTAAGAAATTTTTATACTGAAGATATTTTTGCTTAATAAATTTTTGCTTTAAGAAAGTTTTGTATCAAAGACATTTATGCGTGGGAAATTTGCGCTTTGTTGTTTTGAGAAATTTTTGCTATGAGAATTTATGGCTTTAAGCAGTTAAATCTCACTGCAGACCAACAATTTTACGACCAAATAATAGATAAATTTTCAATCTTAAAAGATAGACGTATAGTATTTTATATTTTTTAATACTTAGGTAGGGGTCGACTTTTTAGTTTTATTTTTATTTTTTGATTAATTTATTTATTTTTAACTTTTTTAAGACTATCTTTTAAGTTTAAGATTAAAACTAGTCTTTGATGTGATATTTTGTTTGTTTGTTTTGTTTATTTTTTGGTTTAGTAGTGCTATCGGCTCCATTTTAAAAAAGGTCAACGCGTCGGAGAATAATACCTCCCGGGTGACGTGGAAATTTATTCGTATTTAGACAAAATTAACCTTATGTAGCCTCACCCTCCTGTACACCCACGAGCCGCCACTGGCTTTAAGCAATTTTTGCTGAGAAATTATTTTGGAAAACATGACTTGGAACCTTATAATTTGAGTTTAAAAAGTTTTTATTTAAAAACAGCTGACTGTTAGTGGATGAACATGTAACGCTGCCATCCCAGGTAGCAAACTTGTTGACGTCAATTTGTGCTTGGCACAGCAATGTCACTTAACATGTTCATCCACTATACAGGGTGTCCCGAATATAGTGTGCAATACTTTACATGTTACAAAAAAAGGAAAAAAATTTCCTATAAACATAGCAAATGGCCCCTAAGGGGGCTACAGCCTCTTAAAGGGGCGCCCCTGAAGATGTTTTTTTATTTTTTAATTATAATAATAATATTTACAAAACGGTTTCAGATAAAATAATAAAATTTTGTATGCTTACTTAACTTTATAAGTAAGTACCCTTGCTAAATTTAAAAACAACAAAATAAAACAATTTTTTTTTACAAATGTATTAAACAGGAGCAGTCTAGGTTATTTTTAACCCTAAACTTATTGGTTGCAATTTTTTTGCAGAATATAAAAATTTAGAGTTTTATAAGTACTTACGTAAAAAAAGTACTGCTGTTGAACATCGATAAAATGCACCATTTTCAAATAAAAATATTAAATTAAAAAAAAATGCCTGTTTTTTTTCAATTCACTTAGAAATTTTAATACAAAAATACATAGGTATATTTTTCAAAAATATATTATTTTATCTCAAACCGTTTCAGAAATAATAATAATAATAAAAAACATCTTCACCCTTTAGGGTCTCTGTAGTTCCTTAGGGGCCATTTTCCAACTTATGTCCATATAAAGTTTTTTGCCTATTTTTGGATCTAGAAACTGCTTGTAGATTATTGCACACTATTTTCAGGACATCTTGTAAAAAGTGGATGAACATGTTACTATAATTATTATAACTATTATAGTGGTTATAAGTTTGTCTTAGGGTTATAACCTCTTCAAGTCTGAATTATTTTCAATGTTTTTTATATAAATACTATTAATTAAATAGTCTTAAAACATAAAAATATGTCAAAAACTACCCATCAAAAATATTTTTTTTATTTTTGTGAAATTCAAAATAGTATTTTATAATAATTATTAACAATTATACTAGGATATTAAAATAAGCAGGTAATTATTGTAAACACCATCAGATTTTTTAAACTTTACCTTAATATTATAAAAATAAAATATATTCAGGGTGTCCCAAAAGTCAACAATATCCTTTGGAGGACTAACAGACTGACTCATAACTAGGCAGAAAATCAAAATATGACCTTAATAAAAAATCATTAGTTTTTGAGATATAGTCATTTTTATGAATTTTGTAAAACTTGACACCTTAGATCAGTTTTTCGAGTGCCACAGCTACAAAATCTACTATTCATTTAATTTTGAATTGTAATTAATTGCAGTCCTATAACGCAAAATAAAATATAATCTAAGAATATAGAATGTTGTAGTTGTGGCACTCGTAAAACTGATTTTATGTGTCAAGTTTCACAAAATTCATAAAAATGCCAAAATCTTAAAAACTAATGATTTTTTACAAAGGTCATGTATTGATATTCTGATTAGTCATGAGCTGACCTATTAGTCCTTTAAAGGATATCGTTAACTTTTGGGACACCCTGTATATAAATTAAGTAAGAATAATAATTAATTTGGTTTGCATACCTTGCACCCTGGGTTGCTCCAAATATTAGTAGGCTCATTCTGTTTATCTTTTATATCAACTTGAATCCATCTCCATACTTTCTCAGACATATTTAATATCCAGGCATCACAATAATAAAATGAAGGCCCACCAGAACCCCCCAAAATTAAAATATTTTCATCATCTAAAACTACTTGTGTTTGACCAAAACGACCATTTGGTCTAGGCCCAGTCTCAATTTGTGGTTTTTTCCATGTCCAATTTGTTAGATTCAATAGCCAAACCTCATTTGATTTTTCACAGTGGACAGCAGTATTTGGTTTTTGCAAACCCCCAAATACCACCATGGTATCTTTTATTATTGAAACTGAATGTCCTGCAACTGGTGGTGGGTTATTTCCAGTTGTTATACAGGTCCAACTATTGGCATTTATATTGTAAACATGAAGTTCATCAAATAAATGCCAGCTTTGGTATAATGGATATGAAGGTGGGTATGCCCACCCACCAAATAATACTAAAATAAACATAATATAAGAATTATGTTTAAAAAAAATAGTTGATACGTACTTAACATATCTTTATATCTAAGTAAAGAACTACAAGCTTTGGGGGAAGGATATGTTCCCATGGCCAAAGGCCTAATCCATTGCCTTTTGGATAAGTCTAATCTCCATAAATCATTAAAAGTAGTCATTGCACAAGTACAGCCTCCAAAAACATACATAGAATTTTCATGAACTGCAGCAGAATGTGAATATCGTTTTGTTATTGTTGGAGCCATTTCTATTGGAGTTATTTTGTTCCATCTTACATCAAAGTCTGTAATTGCTTTGTATAAATTTCTTTGTTTTGTCTTAACAACATCTAAAACCAAAAGCATTAGTAATTATGTAGGTATACAAATTTTAATACACTGGTAACTTACTTTGTACACATCTTTTCCATTTCTTTGAAACTAGCATACAATCATGTAGATCCTTATAAGGGGATATTAATGATAAAATAAATTCTAAAACTTCTTCGGGAAGATTTTCAATGCATGGAAGTTCCATTTCACAACTTTAATTTGAAGAATAAAGGATAAACAGCAAACTTTTCTTCTTAATATTCTTTCATTTTCAATGTTGTTTGTAGATATTTTTATATTAAGCAATTCATTTTTGATGAAGTGGCTAAAGACACGTTTAAAAATAAAACAAAACGTTTATCAATTACAAAAAAAACAAAATTTTAACTTTATACATTCTTTTAATTTACATAACTTTAAGTAAACAATACATAAATTTTATTTTTAAGACTGTTACTTTTAAGTTAGTAGTATTTTTGCAAATTAAGGTTGTTTTTAGACACTACTTTGTCTTCTTCTTCTTCTCTGGTTTGATTGGCCTTTCCCTTCCGGGAATTAGCCAGCTGTATTTTATTATTATTATCTGGAGCAAGCGAGTCTAGGATAACCTATAGCTTCTCCTTTTCTTCTTGATTTTATAGTTTATTAATTACACTACTTTGTCGGTCAGTGAGTGGTATACAAACCCAGTGTTGCCAACGTCAGCTATTTATGGCTTTAAGCTACATTCGTAATGAATTGACCATTACGTTGGCTACATTGAAAATTTGAATTTCCCGCACAAACTAAATTAATTTCTATCTTTTTTTTTAATAATAATAAATAATAATAATTCCCACTTTGAAATTCGCACCTTAATTTATTATAAAACATTGGAACTACCTTCTTTATCTCTAGGAACTACTAGAATCCTAGAACAAAAACAACAGGAAGGAGCATTTAATAAATGACCTTGGGTCCAAAGTGGAGCTTCAATATGGCGGATAGTTGTTTCCGTTTGACAGTGGCGTAGTAAATACAATTGAAGTTTAATTTTTATAATAATTAGGTTAGTATCAGAAAATATGATACGCCTATGGTTTTTTCTATGATGGTTACGTTCTTAGGTTATGGTTATGTTCTAAGGTTACGTTATTTGACATTGATTTATGTTTAATATTTACAACTAATTATTTTAAAATATACAATAAGTAAATAAATTAAACGTTAACCAAAATACTCACCTATGAAATGTAAATGAATATTTTTAATTTTTTGTGCTCAAGGAGCAACCACAAGCTGCACAACTAACCATAATTTGTTTTTACACCTTAAACACTAATATTTATATCTTAAACTTTAAATATTTACACTTAAACGAGAATATATCAAATACAATATTGTCTAGAAACAATGAAACGCTTATTTAAAGTTAATTTAACTAAAAAAACAACATAAAACACCGACAAACACATAAAACATTCAACTTTGACAAATATAGCATCACCATATGCTCATATCACAAATGTGTCATAATTTGGAGCTTGCAAATGGCCGACTTCCGCCGCAATTTTAGTACGGCTAAAGAATGACAAGACTCCTTCCTGTTGTTTTTTGTTCTAAGACTAGAATGTATGTCAGTTTGTGCGTGAAATTCAAAATTTCAGTGTAGCCAACGTAATATAATTGAATGTTCCCAATAGGGAATTTTCTTTTTTTACCATTGGCAACATCGACCGCATTCCTTGCATATGGTCAATTCGCTGCAGCGTTGCCAGACCACGAAAAATTTCCGTACTGATTTGGAATGAAAAACGTACTGATTTTAATAAAAAAGTACTGTTTTCAAAAAAAATACAAGATGTTAATATTTTGACGTACATCTCGTTTCTTATTGTAGTACACGTTCATCGCCCATAATGACAGGTGGGGGCGTTGCAACCACATACAGTTGTATTCATTAAAAAAGCGTACAAGAATTAGAATGAGAGAAAACTGTCAACATTATTGCGTAAAACCGGCTTTCCACTGACTTAAGTCACTGGCAGTAGAAAATAAAAATGCCTCGTCAGCTCAAATAGTATCAAGAATCGAAGAAGAATGGTCAATTCGTACCGTGGTATAATACAAATAAAAAATCTATATTAAAAATTAATAATTTTTGTAATATTATTTAATTAACCTACGACGTCAATGCTCTTTATAACCTATAGTAATTATTTTAATGACTTATGTCAGTGATAAGCCGGTTTTAAGCAATAATATTATTTTGACACGTTTTCTCTCATTCTAATTCTTGTACGCTTTTTTATTGAATACAACTGTACTTAAAGTATAAAGGCTGATTTAAAGATTGCCTTCCTTCCTTCCTCCCGTAAAAGATTAACATTACGAAAATCGTAGTGCCATTTATAGTACGGGAATCTTTAAACTGCACAACGGTTTTTGTACTGTTCATTTTCTACGGGAGGAAGGGAGGAAGGCAATCTATAAATCATGCTTAAGTGTGGGTTCATAATGACCGTTAGAATAAGCATAAGAAATACATACATAACAATACCATATACTTAAAACATAATCACAAACACAACGGCCTGCAACGCACTAAACTAAATTATACTATATATAAACTAAATTATACTATATAGATGTATATAATATTTAATTTAGATAGTTCTTTACTTTTAAGCCTATATACACTTTTAAGTTTTTTTTAAGGTATATTGACTTTTAGTCTTTTCGACTATTTAGCCAGCTCATTATTATATATTTTTATGCTCGAAAATCAAGCACAACACCCAAGGCTGTGACCGGGAATCGAACCCGGTACAGTCTGTGGTACAGTCACTTTTAAGTTTTAAATTAAACATATAATTAAACATATATGAAATAAAAACATTAACTGTCAAATCCAGGCTGTGTTGCCAGGTCGCTTTTTAATTGTGGCGCCATCGCTCTACTTGGTAAGTTGGCAACACCGAAACTCCAAGAAAACAAGCAACACCACAGCCGGCAACGCTGTAAGGCAAGGGTTGGCAGCAGCGACCACGGTCTTATATACAGGTCTTGCAACTTCGCCCAATTTCAATAGGAAAAGTGACCTCTCTAATGAGACACCCACCAGATGGCGCATCGAGTTGAGGGTGAACCATAGATGTTTAAAGGTCGTTTTTACCTTCTTTATCTTTGGGTTTTACAATCGTTAGATAAGCTCTCTGGTGGATAATTTTCTTAGATAGAAGGTTTCTATGAAAGTTATCCGCCAAATAAGCTAACTTAATCTAACGATTGTAAAACCGGCTCTAAGTCCTTAAAGTCTATGGGATAAAGGTCAAATGAACTACCTACTTATGTTCTGTGAAGAAACATAACCTACATTTTTATAAACAAGCTTGTGTATTTTGTTACAGGGAGTTTTTACTTATTGTTATTGTGATATTCGTTATTGTTATATTATATTGTTCTATTTTTTCTTGTTATATTTGTTCTTGTTATATTTGTTCTTGTTATACATTTGTATTTGTGCTTTTTAATAGACATGAAGTCCTGTGTTGTGCCAAAATGTAACCAGCAAAGCTATCGTTCCGGCATTAAAATTAAGCGATCCATGTTTAAAGTGCTAACAAATAAGGAGCGGTTAAAAACATATTATTGACACCTTCACATTTTGTATGATTATTATATAATTAAGCACATCGTGTTGGTGAAATATATATTATTTTAAATAAACAATCAACCCATCCCCGCCAAGACAATAAAAAAATCGGTTATTAATAAATTAGCCAGAATATTGGTTGGTTAGTTTGTTGTGTTACTAGAAATTTTGGTTTTCATATTAGCCAAATTGAATTGGATAGTTTACAAATTATCCAGCTATTCCTAAATAATTTCAAGTAAATTAGCCAAGACCCTTGGTTGGTTTACAAACTAGCCGCTAATTTAGTTAAAAATACGTTTTCAATTAAAATAGCTGACAGTTTGGCTAGTTTATAAACTACCCAGCTACTTAATAAACTATCCATGTTTACACATTAGCCGTAACATATATATGATATACGTATGTATTTTATACATTAACATGTTTGCAGTGTTGTAACAGTTACAATATTTTCAGTATCTAGCTACAGTTACAGTTACTTACCAAAATTTGTAACTAGATACAGATCACAGACCTGTAGGTCTGTGATACAGATACATATTTTATTGCAGTAACTAGTTACAGATACAGTTACCTTCAAAAAGTATCTAGATACTTTAAGATACATACAAATTATTTTTTGCTTTAAAAAATTTAAAATAGGGAATTTTAAAGTGACAACAAAAATATACATGTTTATTATTTTTATTTTTTGTATAATATTTTATTTAAAATAACTTATTTTTTATAATATTTTTTTTTAATAAATAATAGTCGCAGTTTAATTAAAAATGTATCTTTGTATCTTAACACACCTAGTTACTTAGAATTTGTAACTAGTTACAGTTATAGTTACTAGATTGGGATAAGTAACTAGTTACACAAACAGATACATAAAAAGTATCTAGATACTGTATCTAGTTACTTGTAACTAGATACGTTACAACACTGCATGTTTGGTCTGGGCATGTGACGGCCGAGGACTTTGTGCATAGAGTATAGACTTTGTTGTCCTATTTTGTTAACGTAAATTATCCGAAACAAACTCACAAATATTAAATTTTTGAAAATGTAAACAAAACATAGAAAAAGAATTTAAAAAGTTAGGTTATGGTTATGCAGTAGTCAGGGTTGGGTATCTACCTACATTTTTGTTTTCGACATGTAGAAATCCTTTTTCGACGTTTTCGACGGTAGAAAACGTAAAAAAGTAGAATACTGTCAAACAAAAAATGTGAGGTTATGCAAGTTTGTTGTTTATTATGATTTGTTAAATGTTGTGAAAAATCAGACACCTACCATAAATTTAAAGTTATTTGGAGTTTTTTAACATTATTATGGTGGGAAAAAAAGGGCCACGTTTGGTTGGGAGACCCCAACATAATTTTTGGCATGAGGGCAAATTTTTATCAGTTATAGAGAAGTGGAAGGAGAAGGTCGAATAAGGTAATTTACGTAAGTAGAAAACCCTATAGGTTTTCGACGCAAGTCGAAAACAAGTTTTCTCGATTTTTATGTAAGAATGTCATATTCTCGCACGCAAAATCGTTGAAGAATGAAGCTCATTCTTAAACGATTTTTGGTAACATTTAGTTTTTAAGTATTGGTACCCCCAAAATGTCAAACTGATTAATAACCTCAAATTCATTACTTTTATTGAAAATGAAGCCTTTATTATTGTTTTTGTAATATTAAGTTTGCTCCAACAATGCATTT